ACATATATAAATGTTAATGTAAGGGTTACTATATATAGGTTAATATTAGGGCTAATTTGAAGTGTATTAATTAAACTATATGTAACGTTACATGTAACTATGTAATGGTGGATAAATGACAATTTGGTTACACTTTATTTTATGGTGTCCTTGTTACAGTGTAATTATACATTTAAGCACCGAGTATTTACTTATATGCTTAGGGTTAGGATGACGGTTTGGTTTAGGGTTAGTTTCATGTAATTATGTATCATTTATTGTTACATTAGTACATTAGTACATGTAACATGTATAACAAGAACACCGTAAAATAAAGTGTAACCAAAATTTCAACTAGATTCAATTTTGGTGCTGCTAAGCTACAGAGGAAATGCAACCAGCATTCAGTCTTGTAAAGAATCTGCGCTTCAATGCAAAGGCTCTACACTTGTTTGCCAAAGGCTTTAGCATCTGCTAAGATACCATTCTTGCCAATGAAGTAATGTCACCAGACTCCGTTTGGTGCAGACACACTATACCACTTACACAGTGAATGCGGCCCTTAGAGTCCCCTACGCTGTAGTGGAAAGCCCCTACAAGAGCCACTCCGCTAGGAGGGATCAGCCAGCCTGTGGATACACTTTCATCCTGGCAACCGATCCCCCTTTCGTCCCTTCTCCATACCAAACAGCAGTGTTTACCTAAAGGATGAGGGAGCTGAGCTAGGACCTCACCTGCTGGCCCCGAGGTTGCCATGAATTCCCCAATAATCCCTCTAAGTCCATGCAAATTCACCCAGGCTGAGTCGCTCGGCCCAGCAGAGGCGGCGCTCTGTTGTTGATCAGTTTGCCATGGCAGCAGCCCTTATCTCCACATGAAAGTGGGAGCCTGTCATGTTGCGGACCTCATTCACTGCCTTCACCGCCCTCCCGCCTTCACAGAGCCTTTCACGGGATGCCGCGTGTTTACTCCCAGAGCTCGGCATGTTAAATTAAACCTCTAACAGTAAGCATTCGTGTCCCTTTATGAGTGAGAGAAAGAGCCTGGCTTGTTTTGTCTTGTGAGTGGAAAAGAGACACCGAGGGATTAGGGAGCCGAAATATAGATTTGCCATCGGGAATCCATTAAATGGCCTCGTTCCCCCAACAAAAGAGCTAATTCATTTATGACATTCCAGGCCATGAGACAGTGAGGTCATCTTATTGATTTTTCCCACTTTTACTATTCAGATGAACAGTGAAGGAAAGAAAGCAAGAAAGAAAAAAGACATCCAACGCTCGAGAAACTGAATCGAGGATCTATTCAACTTCTCCCATAAGCATTAGGGATAAGTGCGTCACAACCGGTGGCTAATATCTATGCTAAATAGTTATAGTAATTTATGGCTCGTCTTGAGTCGTAGGCCAGGGGGATGGGAAGAAAACAAGTGACCTTTGTGTCTTGGTCAAAATCCCCATGGGCCTAATTCAGCTGGGGGAAAGGACCCCACAGCAGCAATGGGAAGATGCCTCAAACATAATGCACACAATAGACAATTGTGCAGTGGTTTCTCTCCTCGACATAAAGCAAAGAGCCCAGGGGACAGTAAAGGGTGAATGAAGCCTGTTGCTTTTCTCAGGCACGATGACACTCAGTGATGAAGGGGTGTCGACTCAGCAATCAAGAGGGGCAATAGAATATCATTGTGAGATATACAAGCACATGAATTTAAGATAAACACTAAAGCTGTTTAGCATGTTTACAGTAATAAAAGCAGTGTTCTTAAAATGTTCTAAAAAGGTTGAGAAGGCAATAATCTTTTTTTTTTTCCTTTGGAAGGGACAGAAAGAATGCATTTGCAGTACTTCAGACTCAAAACAAAACAAATCAAAAAATACTAATTTTGCGGCAATAATTCAAAATCAGTCTGTGTCCATGTGAGTACATAGCTTCTTACTTTAGTATATTGTATAAAAACATATATTGTAAAGCGCTATACATTATATAAATATAAATTGTAAGTGCTATATAAATAAATAGCTAAACAATAACCAATAATATTTTTTGCTAAATATTTAAATGTTAGAGTACCATTAATAATCAATTAAAATTACAAAACTACATTGTGAATATTATCGTTTAACTACACATTTTCACATGAAACTGGAGTCAGTAAACAGACTCATGTAAGTCTCACAAACCTAAAATATACAATCACAGATTCATGGAGCATTCACTGCAATTGTAATAATAGGAATTTCACACTCTGTGGCATCTTTTTGAAAAACATAATATAATATAATACATCCAAAATGTAAAAATATGCAGCCTACTTCAGGCTATTTTACTATTTTGCTGCGCTGCATTCCTGCAGGTAAGTGGTATTTTAATTCAGCTAAGAGGTCACGCAGTGATGTATTGATCATTTATCGTGAGTTTGCAGGGCAGAGCTCACCAAACTAGAACTTTGGAAGGCAGCGAAATTCGCATGAGCTAAATCATTTTGATTGAGTTATAAAAACAACCAGTGCAAAAGAGCAATTTGTTTGCAAATTAAAGACTTTAACTGTATTCATTGTTGCTGCACAGGAAACACTGGCATACAGCGCTTCTGAACAACCATCTTTCATAAAGCAATTCTGTAATTTGTCAACTAAAAAACGTCATTTGGCTCTTAAATGTTCCATTTTAGGGCTTTTTTTTTTTTTTTTTAATATATATATATATATAGCTGCTGTTTTTTGCCGTTTTATTTCCACAGAACAGATAATAAGGTAAAGTGGTTAGTACCAACACAAAAGAACAATAAAGTTTGTTTAAAATATATATTTTTAGACAACGAGTAAGAAAATCTTGTAAAAGAATTCCCAACCAAATAATTAAAAGTCAAATAACTCAAAGTATTAAGAGTACAACTATATGCATAACATAAATGGCTTCACTCCAATTGTCATTGGCTTTTGGTTATATCAGAGCAGTAAAAAATTGAAATCCCACCCTGTCTTACAGCCCTTTATCAACTGCGATCTGTATAGGACTGGGACAGCACAAAGCCCAGAGGGGCTGGCCTGTTCCAAAAGACAAGCCTGTGAACAAATGGTTACATGGTCAAAACTGCCCAAGAGCTGAACTGCTGAATTTATTTCCTTTTCCCAAGCTTTATTCACACAGTGACTCTGCATGGCCACCCTCCCCAAAATAGGCGGGTGGTGAGGTAGACTGGGGGCCGATGACAGAAGGGGCAAAGACAGAACAAGTCAGTGTCTTTTGAGGGGAAAATAAAGCTTTGTGAGCAACGGCAGTGGTGGCACATTTGACAGGTCTTTACCAGTCTTCAGCTCCTTTGTGTCACTCACATAATAGAGCAAAACACAAACTGAGCCAATGTGGTGATGTGGCCCGGGCTATTAGTCAACGTGACGGCCTTTGGAGATGCTAATGGCCATATAGTGTGTCCTCCCCCGTCTTCAGAAGCCGGTTATCTGATAGCACAAAGGCATTTCGCTGGAGGTTGACTTCTTCGCCCCTATTGAAACGCTACAGAGTCATTAGGTTAAAGTCTTTCTCTTTTTCCCCCCTCCAAACACTCTTCCTTCTCAGACTATCCTTTTTTAACAAACAGGGAATATAATCATTCTCCGAGACGAGAGAGAGAGAGGCCAGAGCATATGTATGCATGTGGCCCCTCAGGTACTGGAAAAGAAATAGAGCGCTCTCTAAAAAACAGACACCCCGCAATTCCCTCCACATCCCTCCGGCGAGGTAACGATGCCAGTAACAATCAAGGCCTTGTGAAATGGGAGAGGATGCCCAGGAGTTAAAGACCTCTTGCCCACTGTGTTATTCATCAGTGCGGGCTGGAGCTGAGAGCTCAAGGGCCCCACACTTCCACACATAGCCCAGAGGTCCGGCTCCACAACCCTGCACTGATGAGCACTGGCCACAGAGCGCAGAGTCATACCTCAGAGCAAGGGCCACTCACACCTAACATACATCATTCCAGCTTCATTAGCTGCAGGAAATGCACATTGACGTACACAGACTCGCATGCATACAGCATCTAGAAATTGGCTATTATACAGTGAAAATAACAGTCAAAATAACACTGTTATATACACTTTTTTGTAAACTGATCTAGGGCAGTGGTTCTCATTCTCATTCTGGATGTTAAAAGGCAACCAAACACACTAGCAAAATGTACTGTTCAAAAATGCCTTTAAAGGGATAGTTAAAAAAAAAAAAGTAATCATTTACTTACCCTCATGCCATTAAAAAACCTTCTGTGGAAAATTTAAGATTTTTTTTTTTTTTATGAATGTATAATGTTGGTTATCAACATTATTCAAAATATCTTCTATTGTGTAGTAAAGAAAGAAATTATGAGGTAAAGTAATTTTCCTTTTTAGGATCAAAATGCGCAACAATTTGTACAATGGATTCTATGCACAATCGCTTCCACATTTAAGCCTCTTTGGCCGCTGCAACTTTTGTTGCAGTGCAGTTAGGGAAATTGTGAGAAAATTGTGAGAAAAAGCACAAAATTATACCTTGAAGAAGTGTATAAAGTATAATAAGTAATACTGATAGAATCCACCTTCACACTTAAAGTATTTAAAGCTGTAACTCATTACTATAATATTATGGTTTAATATTATTTACTAAATATGTACTATAGTTAAGTATGTATATTATTTATATATTATTAATTATATACTGTATATTATTAATTATATATATTATACAGTTCGCTATGGAAGAATATCTGAGATTACATTGGAAATCCACAACATTAGCATAGCTAGCACTATGTTCTATTTATTGAACTATAGGAATGCTGAAATTCCAGGTTGGGCAAGCCACCTGTTGAGAAAGGCCTTTTGAGCGGGAGATTCTAATAGTCTTTTTCTTAATTGCAACATTGGGATGAGTGAGAAATTTGGTGTTTATTCTGGTTAGCCTGTGTATTTATGCATAAAAAGCTGCATATTGATGAGGCCAAGGGTCAAACTGACTCTTTCAATAGATGTTTTCCAGTCATCAAGTGCAACAAATGCTTTATAATTTAACCAGTGTAAAACCAGCTGAGGAAACATGCACTGTACCCGTCAAAACGTTTACCAGCAATCGTCAAATTAAATCAAGTTAGAAATTCACACACACGTTGGATATTGTCCACGCCCACCCACTCTGTTTAACATACATTTAAAGTTCCTTTTATTACTACTTTTTTTTTAAACACCAATTTAATAAATAAACCACATCTGATGGGGTACAACATGCAAACATTACAATCTACAACAAAAAGTGGAAACATTCTTAAATCAACCGACAGATATTCTGTTACAAGCACCACACTCAGATCCATGATTTCAATGACCTTAGATACTTTACAAGTACATGTATATTTACCCATTTACATTTATGAGCAACCAGGAACAAAGGTGTGGTGTCCCTTACACTCAAAATTATCAGGACATGTGTAATGTGGATTTTATATAAAACCTAATCAGACCACAAAAATTCTAGGGCGCGAAATATCAAATGTGCAAGCAAAGAATTAAAAGTGCACTAAAGCTGAAGATGACAGATGAACCATTTGAATCTCTCAAAGTAAACAGTCATAAAATAAAGCAAAACAAAGTGGTGTGCAGGGCCAAAGTAACAAACAGGATATGCCAATGCATTTTCATCCACCTGTGTGAGCAGATGGTGTAATCTGGTCTCCTTATAAAGAAATGTTCTGCATCTTCAAGACTAAGCCTCATAGCCGTTTCTGGAGTATATTCAACTGAGCTAAGTGTGACTAAAAGCAAATGAGGTGCAGATGAGATCTACTGTACAAACAACTGCATATATCGATTGCAGATTCTACAAAATAATTACAAAGGATTTAGATGGTGGTCTACTGATAAGATGTTAAGATGTATAATTTGAACTGTGAATAAGTCATAAGAGAGATGTTGTATAAACGTGGTGAAATCACAGCTCCAAAATATGAATGAGGGCGGCAATTGGTGACAAGACATTTTTGAACATTTTCTCTACTCATAGCAAGGCCAATCAATAAATTTTTTCTTGGCTTCTCCATAAACATCACCTTGATTAATAAAGAAAGTCAGGGGAAAGAGAGACCCGGACAAAGTATTTTATTGGGAACGAGGGATTGGGAGAAGATGTATGTGCATGTCTGTCTGACTGGATTCTCGGGAAAACATGTCTGGTGAACACATTGGTGGCTTTTAAGCGCTGGAGGAAGAAAGAATAAAGTATGGCACTCTGACACGTACCATTCTCTAGTTGCGTAAGTGCTTGTTCTCCAACAGTGATTAAATATGCAGCAAATGTAAACCACTTTGCTTACTTTCACTGTTTTTACGGGGAAGAGTGCGTGTGTGCTTGTGTGTGAGAAGACTGAAAGCTGAAGCAGGATATGTTAAAAAAAAGAGAGGTTGAGAAGCAGGGTCATTTACGAAGGGCAAAGAGCAAAAATTATGTTGTATTTAATCAGTGCATTTTCTTCTGTAAGGGCATGACTGTCCAGAAACAAGATGATCCTGAAAGAAGACAAAAGATTAAGAATTATTTCTCAAGTCATGAAATCCTTCAAAAAGCATAATTAAAAATAAAAACTTTCATACTACAATGAACACTACATAACAACCCATGCATTTTAATTAGGGCTGTCCATTGATTTACTTTTTGAACGCATTATTTTAGATGATAATGTAATGTGTTGAATAATTATATCAATAGCCCCAAAATAAAAAGGTACTACTATGTACAATTAAATGAGTAACCTCATCTTTCACTAAGTTAATGTGTACTTTGGCAGCCCTAATTTTAAAATATTTTCATATTAAGTTATAAAAAAGTAATATTAAAGTAGAAAAATAATATATTTATATAAATTATTCAATATTATCATCAAACAGTATTAATAATAATTATGTAAAATATTAATAATTAATTAATGGTAAACTGAATCATTAACTATTTCTATCAAATTTTCTCTTTAACCATGCAGTAGAAATAAAAACCACCTACTGCTCTATTTCTCTTTGTGAAGGGCTTCAATGAAAGCTTCAAGTTTCTCCTGAATTTCCCGTACTTTTTCTGTAAAGAGAAATCCAAATGTGAATGCAGCATATACTACCAATGCTGCCATTTCAATGGCACAGAATTACCATTTCATCTCCCCTGCTCTGAACTGGAAGGAATTCATTAGTCTTCTCAAGTTCTCCTGGGAAAAACCCTAACCTGGCCACATCATTGCAAAGACGCACTTTCATGTGGACTCGTATGCATACAAATATTTCTAGATTTTCCTGCAGATTAAGTATCAAGTTGTGTCAAGTCCCACTGTGGGTACATTCTCTGACACCCAAACACAGCAGATGGTGGCCACTGACAGTTCAGCACTCAAAGGTGCGTGCGGTTGAGGAGCAGATGATGAAGAGGTGGTGTTCTATTGCACCTCCTCACCTCCACATGCTACTTCAAAGCCTGTCCCCTTCAGGGAGTCATGGAGGAGAAGTGGGAATGGGTGACAACTTTTAACTATGTGAAAGAGTGAGGCAAAGGTAAATGACAATTTTTAAAAATTCTGAGTTCCTCCATGTGGAACAAACAGAAAATGTCATTCTCCATTTAGAATTGATGCTCTTGCATGGGTGAATCCAACAATGAGGTCCAAGTCACAAATTATTCCAAAAGTGGAAAAGAAAAAGTAATAATAATAATAATAATAACAACAACAACAACAAATGCATTGGTAGTTCTGCCTTTTGTTTAAAATTATTGAATTTTCAACTTTTTTTCCGAAATATTTGACCATTTTTAAATTAAAATATTCCATTAAATTAAAAAATTATGAGACAGGAAAGACCAGATATATTAGGTATAATGTGACCTTGACATTTCTTGATGTTTGGCGAGATCCATCCATATTTAAAAAATAGAAAATTAAATGAAATAAAATCCAATATAGCTGATGATGTGAGAGAAATTATAAATATAAAACATAATTAAAATTAATTAATGAAAAGTAAAAAAAAATAAATAAAAAAAAGTAACAGTAGTAAAATATAATTTTTAAATAATTTTGCAATTAACTCAATTGAGAGTCTAGTTGAGAACCTCATAAATGACTTTCAAATAAATCACTTACGAGGTTCAATGACCAGTTGGCAGTAAGGCAGCACAGTAGGTTTTGGAACAGAGCTATTATGTATGTTATGTATGCATGCAAGACCATTTGTGGCCTAATAGTGTGAGAACAAACAATCTAAAGTCTCATATGACAACAGGTTAACTGGGCTTTTCAAGTGAACACTGGGCTACAAGTTTGTGGCTGTAACTAAATACTGTCATCTGAGGCTCGTGCAGCCGTTTAAGGTGTATTTGTGGTGTGGGGATTCCCCATTCTCCTCAGAGGTGTAGGATGAAAGAAATAAGACAGCCTTTGTGGACATCTGACATCTCCAAGGTCTGAAATACAATACTATGACCCACACACAACCGCACACGTGCTCACACGTACAAACACACAAACTTTCACAAATATCCTGAAGCCTGGAAACACGACCCTTCAACACCTTCTGCACACACACACACACACACACACATACGCAATCGACTTTGAGTATCTTTTTTTGTGCCTAGGGACATAAAGAGTAATGGTGAAGGTTAGTGAATATAACAGGCATTACGTTTTGAAGAGGGCCTTATGACACGGCAGGTGTGGAGATGAAACTCAAGCCACCCGTGGTCTTTTTTGAAAAATGCAGGATAGCAGCAGATTCAAAAGATTTTTAAAAAAATGCATTCCATCTGAACAATTTGGGGATACTTGATCTAATTGCATGTCACTGGATAATAGTGATGTATGCATTTATTAAAGATTCACTTATATTTACTAATAAGCTGATAAGTGGTAACATGTTATGGCTGAATGTAATATAATATTAATTATAGAAATTATAAATTCAAAAAGTAAGGAAGGAAGGAAGGTGAACAAATAAATAATACTTTGCATACTACACATGAATTTAGGCATCTCATTATAAATTACAGAACATTATGGAAAAAATTCTATGCAGCAACGTGCTCCCAAAGGAACAGCGCTTCTCAAGGGATTACAGCAATAATTTACTATTAAAGGGCTAATTTTTTGTCACTATCGTTCATTATACCTATAAGTTAATGCAAGATGATGCCAAAAGTAATCTGAATCTTAAAATAAGTGAAAACAATTAAATATCCAAATATGAGAACATAAATATCAAATATCTGCAAACAGCAATAGATGAAAAAAGTAACAATGAAAAATACAAAATATTGGTCCAATATATTGTGCATCCCTGGTATTTATATAATGTTGGATATTAAAAGTTTTTGTTTATTTGGTAATGGAATTTGTGGCTTGCTTTGTTTTCAAACCAGCATGGTTGTACCATTTTTATTAATCAAAAAATACTTTATAATACACCAAGACCACTTTGTAACACACAAATAGAGACTCAAAAATACTGGACATGGGATGAATCAAGAGGACGTGATGGAAGCTACTATGGCTTCATGGGCCAATCACAAGTCTGTGGAAACAGTCAAATTGAAAACGTGTACGTTTACAGCCAATGAAGTTTTAAAGAAGAATGGACAGCTAAGGATGATGTGAACTTGTGTGTATATGGGCTTAAAGTGTCTGAAAAGACTGTGAGAAACAGATATTTATTTCTGGTCGCCATCTGTTTGTTCCACATGGAGGAACACAGAATGACGGCTAAGAAAAGTCCAAAACAAGACGGTCTTTTCAGTGCCTCGGAAATGTGACGCAAGAGAGAACTGCTCCTTCCACTGCTTCTGTGAGTCCGAGAACAGGGTCCAAACTCCATTTAGACCCCTGTTTACCTAAGAGATTAGCTTTTTGGACACATCCATTCATAGGTCTCCTCTCTTTATCTGGTCATGAATATTCCCATAATCCTCTGGCCCCTGTCCCAGTAGCCTCCTTTTTTGGGAGGTGTGGGGTGGCTTTCTCTCTTTCAGGATTCCTCCTCAATCCCTTCTTTGAAAGGGGCTCTCGCCTGATCTCCACATGAAATGATATCTCTTTCACTCCCACTCTTGTGGGCCTCTAAGCCTCCTGGGCCGGAGCGGCAGAAGGCTGGAGAAAGCCCTTAATTGACCTGTAATTAGACTGTGAAACAGTGTGGCCGTGGAGAACAGAAGGACGAGGAAAAAAAGCGAGAGTCAGGGTACGAGATACCGCCAAGGAGATGGAGCTGCAAGGAGCTAAAGAGAAACTCAATCCCTTTTGATATAAATGGTGGCCTTCGGTATTTGCCATCATGTAGCATGACCATTAATAGGGAAAATGGCAAAGAAATTAAAATGTGGCAACAGCCTTTTCAGCAGCTCACGTTTCCCACCGTGCCTTCCCAGAAACAAGACGACTGAAGACGGTCCACGGAAAATCAGTGTCACGTCAGGTGTGAACCTGAGTGGTAAGAGAGAACTCTGAAATTAAGCTTCTCGAGCAGCTAAAAAGACGAGCAGTAAAAAGTTTTTACACAAAAAAATGCATTCAATGAAAGTCAGTGGGGTCCAAAACAACTTTGGGCATGTAAAGGTGAGTAAACGATGACAGAATTTTCATTTTCGGGTGAACTATCCCATTAAAGGAACTTTATACGTCTGAACATTCACACAGGAACACCTACCAGCATGGGCAGTTTTTTCCATAGAGGAGAGGAACCACTGCCGAAGCTCTGCTGTGAAAACCTCAGGGTTCAACACAAGGGTAGCTTCCAGTTAACCTCAGAAAACAGGCTTATTTGGGTGTGTGAAATCTTACACACAACCAGTTAAAGATGAAGTGTGTAATTTTTGGATGTTAAAACACTTACCCCATCATAGCCTAAAATGCAGCGACAACTAGTAAGCTACTAGGAGGCTGATATCCCAGAAAGAAAAAAAAAACCTTCATTGGCATGACTGGCTGAAAATGGCATTCTTGACAAACAAATCTCACATATATTCTTTCTATCCAAATATGACAAAGCAATTTTTTTCAGCATTTTTACCTCTGGATCCACTTATTAGAATTACATATCTTAGACCACATACCATAGAGCTATGCTAATTTGATAATGCAACCACAATGGAAAATATATCATAGGGATGCACGATAAATCTGCAAAAAAATTATTTCATTGAAATTGGTTGATTATGGATATATTAAAGTAATCTAGCCCAAAAAAATTAAAATTCTGTCATAATTTACTCAACCTCATTTCATTCCAAACCTGTATACTGTACAACATTCTGCAGAACATCGGGAACCAAACAACACACAAAAAAAACCTGACATTTTTCAAAATATCTTCTTTTATGGTCCAGGTAAAAAAAAAGCCATTAATTAATTATTGGCCATAACATTAAAATAGTTATCATCTGATTGGTATTGGTTATGGTTTCATGAGGGCTTTACAGATAATGAACCACTACAGACTTTTGTAGCATTCATCTCAACATACCCAACAGTCAGAACCTTTGAACAACATCTGATGGTGAACTAATGGGAATTTTCTCTTCACTTTCCCCTTGGGCTGCGCAAGAGACTCTTGCTTATGAGGGCTGTGCAGACAGCATCTTGTCAACCCAGGTGTACGATGAACTCCTCACCTCCCTTCACAGCCTCCCTCCAGCCTGGCCTCCAAATAAGCATTTAATTACAGGGCTTTGGCACAGGTAAGACAGGGGCAAGTCAAGACGTGGAACAGCCAGAAAACAGTCAACCGGACAATAGACCACTGGTGGTCATCTTAAAGGGATAGTTCACCCAAAAATGAAAATTCTGTCATCATTTACTCACCCTCATGTTGTGAGTGCCACATATTCTGCAAAACATCTTAGTGTTGTTTTGGACTTAGACTTTCATAATAAGGACAAAAATAATCGAAGTATTCCTTGAAATATCTTATTTTGTATTTTAAAGAAGAAAGCAAGTCATACAGGTTTGGAACTACATTAAGGGTGATTAAATTACAAAATTTTCTCTTTTTTTGGGTGAACTATCCCTTTAACCCCACTTGTGCGGAACCTGATCTGTC